CTAGTACTCTACCTTCCCACCACTTCTAGTACTCTACCCTTCCCACCACTTCTAGTACTCTACCCTTCCCACCACTTCTAGTACTCTAACCTTCCCACCACTTCTAGTACTCTATACCCTTCCCACCACTTCTAGTACTCTACCGTTCCACCACTTCTAGTACTCTTACATAACCTTATTCTCCTACTCACTTCTAGTACTCTTACCCTTCCCACCACTTCTAGTACTGCTACGTTCCCACCCTTCTAGTATCAGTCTACCCTTCCACCACTTCTAGTTACTCTACGCTTCCACCACTTCTAGTACTCTACTTACCCTTACAGGACTCAGTAGTCTACCCTTCCCACCGATGTCTAGTACTGCTTAGAGCTTCAACCACTAGTGGTAGTACTAACCTTCCACACTTGCAGTACTACTTACCTTTAGTTTAATGGGTTCAGTTACCCTACTAGGGTCAGTATACCTGCTTAGCCATGGGTCTAGTATACCTGCTTAGCATGGTCAGTAGTACCTCTTAGTCATCGGGCAGTGTACCTGTTAGTATGGTCTAGTGTACCTGACCCCTTGATGGCAGTAGTACTGCTAGATGGTCAGTAGTACTGCTTAGCATTCTAGTACTGCTTAGTATGGGTCAGTAGTACCTGCTTAGCAGGGTCAGTATACCTGCTTAGCATGGGTCAGTGTACCTGCTAGCATGGGTCAGTAGTACCTGCTTAGATGGGTTTAGTAGTACCTGCTTAGTATGGGTCAGTAGTACCTGCTTAGCATGGGTCAGTAGTACCTGCTTAGCATGGGTCAGTAGTACCTGCTTAGTATGGGTCAGTAGTACCTGCTTAGTATGGGTCAGTAGTACCTGCTTAGCATGGGTCAGTAGTACCTGCTTAGCATGGGTCAGTAGTACCTGCTTAGCATGGGTCAGTGGTACCTGCTTAGCATGGGTCAGTAGTACCTGCTTAGCATGGGTCAGTAGTACCTGCTTAGCATGGTCAGTAGTACCTGCTTAGCATGGGTCAGTAGTACCTGCTTAGCATGGGTCAGTGGTACCTGCTTAGCATGGGTCAGTCGTACCTTCTTAGAATAGGTCAGTAGCACCTGCTTAGCATGGGTCAGTAATACCTGCTTAGCATGGGTCAGTAGTACCTGCTTAGCATGTGTCAGTAATACCTGCTTAGGATGGGTCAGTAGCGCCTGCTTAGCATGGGTCAGTAATACCTGCTTAGCATGGGTCAGTAATACCTGCTTAGCATGGGTCAGTAGTACCTGCTTAGCATGGGTCAGTAATACCTGCTTAGCATGTGTCAGTAATACCTGCTTAGCATGGTCAGTACCTGCTTAGCATGGGTCAGTAATACCTGCTTAGCATGGTCAGTACCTGCTTAGCATGGGCCAGTAATACCTGCTTAGCATGGGTCAGTAGTACCTGCTTAGCATGGGTCAGTAGCACCTGCTTAGCATGGGTCAGTGGTACCTGCTTAGCATGGGTCAGTGGTACCTGCTTAGCATGGGTCAGAGGTACCTGCTTAGAATGGGTCAGTGGTACCTGCTTAGCATAGGTCAGTAGTACCTGATTAGCATGTGTCAGTAATACCTTCTTAGCATGGGTCTGTAATACCTGCTTAGCATGGGTCAGTGGTACTTGCTTAGCATGGGTCAGTAGCACCTGCTTAGCATGGGTCAGTAATACCTGCTTAGCATGTGTCAGTAATACCTGCTTAGCATGGTCAGTACCTGCTTAGCATGGGTCAGTAATACCTGCTTAGCATGGTCAGTACCTGCTTAGCATGGGCCAGTAATACCTGCTTAGCATGGGTCAGTAGTACCTGCTTAGCATGGGTCAGTAGCACCTGCTTAGCATGGGTCAGTGGTACCTGCTTAGCATGGGTCAGTGGTACCTGCTTAGCATGGGTCAGAGGTACCTGCTTAGAATGGGTCAGTGGTACCTGCTTTGCATAGGTCAGTAGTACCTGATTAGCATGTGTCAGTAATACCTTCTTAGCATGGGTCTGTAATACCTGCTTAGCATGGGTCAGTGGTACTTGCTTAGCATGGGTCAGTAGCACCTGCTTAGCATGGGTCAGTAATACCTGCTTAGCATGGGTCAGTAATACCTGCTTAGCATGGGTCAGTAGTACCTGCTTAGCATGGGTCAGTAGTACCTGCTTAGCATGGGTCAGTAGTACCTGCTTAGCATGAGTCAGCAATACCTTCTTAGCATGGGTCTGTAATACCTGCTTAGCATGGGTCTGTAATACCTGCTTAGCATGGTTCAGTAATACCTGCTTAGCATGGGTCAGTAGTACCTGCTTAGCATGGTCAGTACCTGCTTAGCATGGGTCAGTAGTACCTACTTAGCATGGGTCAGTAGTACCTACTTAGCATGGGTCAGTAGTACCTACTTAGTATGGATCAGTAGTACCAACTTAGCATGGGTCAGCAGTACGTACTTAGCATGGGTCAATAGTACCTACTTAGCATGGGTCAGTACCTACTTAGCATGGGTCAGTAGTACCTACTTAGCATGGGTCAGTAGTACCTACTTAGCATGGGTCAGTAGTATCTACTTAGCATGGGTCAGTAGTACCTACTTAGCATGGGTCAGTACCTACTTAGCATGGGTCAGTAGTACCTACTTAGCATGGGTCAGTACCTACTTCGCATGGGTCAGTAGTACCTACTTAGCATGCGTCAGTCGTACCTACTTAGCATGGGTCAGTAGTACCTACTTAGCATGGGTCAGTAGTACCTACTTAGCATTGGTCAGTAGTACCTACTTAGCATGGGTCAGTAGTACCTACTTAGCATGGGTCAGTAGTACCTACTTAGCATGGGTCAGTAGTACATACTTAGCATGGGTCAGTAGTACCTACTTAGCATGGGTCAGTAGTACCTACTTAGCATGGGTCAGTAGTACCTACTTAGCATGGGTCAGTAGTACCTACTTAGCATGGGTCAGTAGTACCTACTTAGCATGGGTCAGTAGTACCTACTTAGCATGGGTCAGTAGTACCTACTTAGCATGGGTCAGTAGTACCTACTTAGCATGGGTCAGTAGTACCTACTTAGCATGGGTCAATAGTACCTACTTAGCATGGGTCAGTAGTACCTTCTTAGCATGGGTCAGTAGTACCTTCTTAGCATGGGTCAATAGTACCTACTTAGCATGGGTCAGTAGTACCTACTTAGCATGGGTCAATAGTACCTACTTAATATGGGTCAGTAGTACCTACTTAGCATGGGTCAGTAGTACCTACTTAGCATGGGTCAGTAGTACCTACTTAGCATGGGTCAGTAGTACCTACTTAGCATGGGTCAGTAGTACCTACTTAGCATGGGTCAGTAGTACCTACTTAGCATGGGTCAGTAGTACCTACTTAGCATGGGTCAATAGTACCTACTTAGCATGGGTCAGTAGTACCTACTTAGCATGGGTCAGTAGTACCTACTTAGCATGGGTCAGTAGTACCTACTTAGCATGGGTCAATAGTACCTACTTAGCATGGGTCAGTAGTACCTTCTTAGCATGGGTCAGTAGTACCTACTTAGCATGGGTCAGTAGTACCTACTTAGCATGGGTTAGTACCTACTTAGCATGGGTCAGTAGTACCTACTTAAGATGGGTCAGTAAAAATAAATTTTATATTAAGCACTAAACCCACGTGGGTTACTGAGCGCAGAACGTGGGCCAGTAGGACCGTGGTAGTGATTGTGTTCTCCCACGGACGTTAAGGACACACTATAGGTCCTTGAGAAACTGGTATTGTTCTTGTGGCCTGTATCAGCCCTACGGGCTTAGTGCTTCCCTGTGAATATTAATAAATAACCATTTTACACGGGTATATGTTTGCGTGAACGCTCTTATGTGTGTTTGCAGGGGTCGAGTCTTAGCTCTTGGCCCCGCTTTTCAACTTGCTACTTGCCAGAATAATTTTCTCCTAGCCTCGTTGGCCCTATCGTACCTATTCTTGAAACTATGTATGGAGTCTGCCTCCACCCCTTCTTCATCGAGGTCATTCCACTTCTCGACCACCCTGGGACTGAAGAAATACTTCCTGACATCCTTGTTGTGAGTCATCTGAAACAGCCTGTCCTTGTCTGCCCTATAAATTCCTTTTGAGTATTTTATATATTATTGTAATGTCTCCCCTGATCCTTCTGTCCTCCAGGGTCGTTAGGTTCATTTCTTCCAGTCTTTCCCCATAGTACATATCTCTTAGTTCTGGAACTAGTTGCAAACTTATGTACTCTCTCCAGTTTACACGATTCCTTGGGTGTGGGTTCCATAATGGTGCTGCGTACTCCAAGATGGGCCTGACGTGTGTAAAGCACCCTGAATGACTGTTAAGATTCCTGAAGGCTTCTCTTATGCTTGTCAGACCAGCATTGGTTATTAGGTTGATGTGCGCCTCTAGTGATATTGTGTGTGTATGTTGCCAATTTGTGTTTGTGGGGGGTGAAGATTTTGCTCCTGGGGCCGCCTCCTACATCACCTTGATCGGCATCACTGACTTCTGGCCTCTTGGGCCTAATCGTAGGAGAGATAGGGTGGGATATGATAACGACATAAAATACTGAGAGGAATTGACAAAGTGGACAGAGACAGGATGTTCCAGAAATGAGACACAGCAACAGGGGGTCACAACTGGAAATTGAAGACTCAGATGAATAACAGGGATGTGTGTTAAGTCTGCCTCTGCTTCCTCCTAGCGACACGACGATACCAAATTTCTTACCTATTCTGATGCTCAGTTTTAGGCCGATACCGATATTAAAATAAGCCCATATCTATACTTTGGCACAGTCGTACAGGTTCCTCGTGCACCGCTTTATCTGGGGAAATGCACTGGCAGTTTTGTTCGCACCACGGGAGGTACACACCCTGTGTGTCACTTAACATGTGCAGTGTGTGTGTACTGATGTACACGCAACGTATCAATGAAGGAGTTACACACTGTGTGTATATAAATTAAGGAGGTGCACACGGTGTGTGTGAGTGTACTTACCTTAGTAATTCTCTGATCAGAAGTGAAAGTAGCGATGCCGGCCCTGACGCGGTTCTTGACGCCCCTGACGGTGCCTTTGTAACTCTTAATGGTGGACTCCTGCTGGGGGGAGAAGATATCCCTGATGCCGGCGAAGCCCTGGCCCGCTGTGTCGTCCCTACACTCGTAGAGGGAGCGGGTGTCGTCCCCTGGCGCCATCTGTGGCACCAGTGCCGCCCGCCATCCTTCCAGATAGGTCGGCGACATCCGCGCCGAGTCAATCTCCTCCTCAAAGAGGGATAGTGTAGAGGAGAAGTTGGATGAACAGCGGGATAGGGAAGGACTAGCGGGGCAGGAGCGACGGTGTCGTACAGACGACCACTGTGCTCCTGTCCTGGTCAGCTGCTGGGGTCGTTCCTGCGCGTCCGTGCGACGCTGCTGCTGCTGCTGCTGCTGCTGCTGCTGCTGCTGCTGCTGCTGCTGCTGCTGCTGTTGGTGCTGCTGGTGCTGCCTGCGAAGCTGCATCTCCTGCCATTTTTCCCTGATCTCGTTGAGGAGAGAGTCTGGTAAAATGGCTTTGTTATTGTTGTTGCGGGTCTGGCTGAAGGACCGAGAGGAGCGGCGGGAGGAAGATGTCCTGCAGGAAGATGCCCATTGGTACTTGATGTGGCCCCGGGAGGACTCTGTCAGGGAGTCGCTGGAGACGGTACTCTCGTTGTCGGAATCGGAGGAGGTGTGGTGTCGCAGGGAACGTGGTCGTGTCGGGTGTCGTGTTGCTGGCGGTGGGGTGTCGTGCTCTGAACACACCCCCGAGTCACCTACTTCAGAGGGCGAGGAGTGCCCACTGTGGGTGGAAGGTGCCGGCGAGGCACTCCTCTGCCACTCACCCTCATCACAGATGGAAGACGATGTTGACTTGAGACGATGTTTGTTGATGCCTGAGCTAGCAGGGGATGCACACCTTCAGGCAGACACCCCAGTTGCTCCCTGGGGGAGGTGGCCACGGGACAGCGCACGGGGGTAGCCAGGGTGCCCATGTTAGAGTCACTGGGGTAGTGAGGGCGTGCAGGGAGATGGTGGGGCGTGCGGGCGTGGTAGAGTTTGGGCGTGCGGGTGTTGGTGTGGAGAGCAACGAGGGAGAGTGTCTTGCAAGGGAAGCCTATCACAGTGCTGCTGCCTACTTGGTACTGAGGGGAGGTAGGTGAGGGCATCATGCCCTCAGCCAGCGGCCTTGTCTCCTGCCCCTCCTCCTCCTCACTCCTCCACACATCCACCTCCCTCTCCTCCTCCTCCTTCCTCCGTCAACAGTTCCTGGTGTCACCCACACAGGTCAGGTTTACCTCCTGCTCTACACCAGTGTACCGATGTTGACCGTCAACACCTTCAAGAAGTCTACACACTACACCTGAGTGCTGTAATGTTATGACACTTGCCACCACCACTACGTCGAGACAGTTTTTGCAGTGCGTCCTTCAGGTCTGGCAACCTCCCCACGTCTCCCCTGGAACACGACTAAAAGCTGCTGGAGTCTTCACCTCCATGAAGGAACCTTGTGTCTCCATCACCCGGCTCCTGCTACTGCTGCTGCTCTCTCTCTCACCTAACTACCTCCTTTTTTAAGTGATGGTTCACGGCAAACAAGGGATGGAGGTGGTTGGTAGACGGGGAGGTTGTTAGGTTTGGAACGTGGGTTGATTTTGGGGAGTAATGGTGGGGTGTTCGTGCGTCTGGCAGGCAAGTGGAGAGCCAACAGGTGTGATGGTTGAGGTGACTTAGCGGTACTTGTAACTAGCGGCCACTACCACTACTACTACCACCACTATTACAACCACTATACTACACACTACTACAACCACTATTACAACCACTACTACTACTACTACTATACCTGGAGTATACTTGGAGAGGGTTTCGGGGTCAACGCCCCGCGGCTCGTTCTGAGACCAGGCCTCGTGGTGGATCAGGGTCTGATCAATCAGGCTGTTACTGTTGGCCGCACGCAAATTGACGTACGAACCACAGTCCGATTGGTCAGGTACTGACTTTAGGTGCCTGCCCAGTGCCTTCTTGAAGACAGCCAGGGGTCTATTGGTAATCCCCCTTATGTATGCTGGGAGGCAAATATAAACACAAATGCAGTATAATGTGATCCTGGAATCATCGTTTATCTCTATAACCAACATTTTCAACCAGAACAATGGCTTCTATAACATAGCTGAACCACTCGCCAAGAAACTTCTTCATCGCTATCCCACATAAGAACATAGAACACTGCAGAAGGTCTACTCACAACTTGTCCAATATCCCCGCCTAGCTACCCAAGACTCTACAACCCCACCCGGTAGATCATCTGATGCAGCAATCTTCACCTGACCTCAACGTTCTGAACTATAAATACTCCCGTACCTTCCAACCCCAGGTAGATCCGTGTGTGACTTGAAAAAGCCCACTGCGTGGGTGAAACGTTGTCAATAAAGGATCACATTATACTGCATTTGTGTTTATATTTCCATTGTGTCGGTATTTTATACCATTTATTTCCATGCTGGGAGGCAGTTGAACAGTCTTGGGCCCCGGACACTTATTGTGTTGTCTCTCATTGTACCCGTGGCGCCCCTGCTTTTCATCGGGAGAATGTTGCATCTCCTGCCGAGTCTTTGGCTTTCATGGGGAGTGATTTTCGTGTTAAAGTTTGGTACTAATCCCTCTAGGATTTTCCAAGTGTATATTATCATGTATCTCTCTCGCCTGTGTTCCAGGGAGTACAAATCAAGGGACTTCAACAGTTCCCAGTAATTTAGGTGCCTTATCATACTTATATGTGCCGTGAAAGTTCTTTGTACACTCTCCAGGTCTGCAGTTTTGCGTCCCTTGGAGGGGGCAGTTAGTGTACAGCAGTATTACTACTACCACCACCACTACTATCACTAATACCACCACAATTACTAATACTACCACCACACCTAATATCACTACCACCCACCACTACTATCACTACTAACCCACTGCACCGTATCATCCTTTGCGGATGATACTAGGATCTGCATGAGGCTGTCATCTACTGAGGACGCGGTTAACCTCCAAGAAGATATAAACAAAGTTTTCCAGTGGGCAACGGTAAACAATATGATGTTCAATGAGGACAAATTCCAACTACTCCGTTATGGAAAACTGTAGGAGATAATAAATAGAACAGAGTATACTACTGACTCCGGCCATACAGTAGAGCGGAAAAAATAATGTAAGGGACCTGGGAGTAGTAATGTCTGAGGATCTCACTTTCAAGGATCACAACAGTGCCACGATCACAAGTGCAAAGAAAATGATACGATGGATAATGAGAACGTTCAAAACGAGAGATGCCAAGCCAATGGTGATCCTTTTCAAATAATTTTTTGTTCTCTCTAGGCTGGAATACTGCTGTACATTAACATCTCCATTCAGAGCAGGTGAAATTGCAGATCTAGCGAGTGTACAGAGATCCTTTACTGCACGTATAAGTTCTGTCAAGCACCTTAACTACTGGGAACGCTTGGAAGCACTTGACTTGTACTCGTTGGAACGCAGGAGGGAGAGATATATCATAATCTACACTTGGAAAACCCTAGAAGGAATGGTCCTGAATCTGCACACAGAAATCACTCCCTACGAAAGTAAAAGACTGGGCAGCGATGGCAAAATACCCCCAATTAAAAGTAGGGTCGCCATTGGTACACTAAGAGAAAACCCATAAGTGTCGGGGCCCAAGACTGTTCAACAGCCTCCCACCAAGCATAAGGGGAATTACCAATAAACCCCTGGCTGCCTTCAAGAGAGAGCTGGACAGATACCTAAAGTCAGTGCCGGATCAGCCAGGATGTAATTCGTACGTTGGACTGCGTGCGGCCAGCAGTAACAGCCTAGTTGATCAGGCCCTGATCCACCGGGAGGCCTGGTTCATGGACCGGGCCACGGGGGCGTTGATCCCCGGAATAACCTCCAGTAGACTGCCACCACAGCTAATATCACTACTACCACCACCACTACTATCACTACTACCACCACAACTATAGTACTACTACTACTGCCATCACCTTCACCACAACCACCACTATCACTACTACCACCGCAACTAATATCACTACTACTACCACAATTAATATCACTACTACCACCACCACCACCACCACCACTACTATCACTAACTACCATCGCTACTACCACCACAGCAAGTATGCTCAAGCAACATACCACAAAGACGATTATTATTATAATCAAAAGAAGCGCTAAGCCACAAGGGCTAGACAAACCACAAAGACGAGAAAAGAGAAGATGTAAGCGAGAGAGAGAGAGAGAGAGAGAGAGAGAGACCAAGATCTGTTATCCTGCCTCAGCTCATCCGGAAGTCCAGCCTTATCTCAGGTATACTACCACCCCCCCAGGATGCCACCCACAATAGTCGACTAACACCCGTGTGGTACCTACTTAATGCTAGGTGAACAGGGGCAGAAGCTGCAAGGAAACATGCCCGTGGTTCGAGCCCGGTCCCGGGGCTCGAACCATGAACCCCTCTGTGAGTTGAGTGCGCTACCAACCGAGCCACGGCACACCCTCATGCTCCTTGTACAGGCGTAGACGAAGACTCGGAGACCCTCTCAAGAATGTTGCAATGTCTGAAGTGCTGAAGGAAGCACTGGCACCAGAAATGAAAGATATTGAACTGAAATTAATTAAGTCATACAGCCCATGAGAAAACTGAAAGGACTTCAGAATACCTACTTCGTTATATGCAAATTTGATTCCTGGCAAATACCACATTAATTACTGGATTTTTCTCAAACAATATACAACTTTGATTGCAGCAGAGAAATAAATGAAATGCCGGAGTGTCAGTGTGACTGTGTCCAGTGAGCTGTTAATTAGACTAAAATATCTCTAGCAAGGAGACGCAAAACCTCGTCAACATCGCCGAAATTTGCGACATGACCCCCAACCTCACTGGTCTTCGAAAAAGGTATTGACAACATGGCCAAGCGCTCTGCTCCAGACCCAGACTTTTGAAGCTCCAAGTGCAAGAACTGCAAGAACCCCCTGTCACGTGCCTGAAATATTATGAGAGGAGTCTAGACACGGGTGTCATCCCACAGTCATTAAGAACGACGGACATAACCTCACTCCACACAGGTGGCAGCACAGCAGTAGCAAAAAACGTTGACTGATAGCACTATCAGTGCTATCAGTCTGTTAAAATTTTTGAAACTGTTTTGAAAAGCATGATTAATCACATGGTCTGTCAGCTGCACACAACCCAGGGCATTGCGGGTTTAGAGCAGGTCGCTCCTGCCTGTCACAACTACTGGATCATTACGACACTGTCTTGGGTGCACTGGAACACACGGTGTTGCTTGTGATGCTGCAGTAAGGTCATGTGTCCATAATAAGTTTTTTTACTTTTCTGGTCAGTGGTGTTCCGTGTGTGTGTGTGTGTGTGTGTGTGTGTGTGTCTTATCTTACCTATTCTTAAACTTTGCGTAGTATCTACCTTCAGGTCTTCATCAAGTTGACCTTCCACTTAGTAACCAATTGTCAGATTGAACAAGTGCTTCCTCACCTTCTCTGACTCATTCCTGTCGTTATTTATCATGTATGCCTGCTTGTCCTTGTCATCATCATTCAAACACACTATATCTCTCGTTGTATGAATCATTTTAGTATCTTTCACGTCTTGATCATGTCTTCCCTGTTTTCTCCCCTTAAATTTTTAGCCCCTTTAACCAATCTTCGTAGGTCGCTTCAGAGGTCCAGCGAAGCGACCTACAAAGGTGAAACAGTTCTAAAATACTCTAACACGACTGTAAACAAACCATGAGTTCTAAACCCACCTGTACCATGGTTTCTAGAATACTGTATTTGATGTTCTTGCCTCCGTTCATGTGGCACTGTTGTTACTTATCTGGCACTGGTGTCTGGTAGTGTGTTGTGAGTTGTGGGTGTTCCCGAGTGTTGTGAGTTGTGGGTGTTCCAGAGTGTTGTGAGTTGTGGTGTTTCCAGAGTGTTTGTGAGTTGTGGGTGTTCCAGAGTGTTTGTGAGTTGTGGGTGTTCCAGAGTGTTGTGAGTTGTGGGTGTTCCAGAGTGTTGTGAGTTGTGGGTGTTCCAGAGTGTTGTGAGTTGTGGGTGTTCCAGAGTGTTGTGAGTTGTGGGTGTTCCAGAGTGTTTGTGAGTTGTGGGTGTTCCAGAGTGTTGTGAGTTGTGGGTGTTCCAGAGTGTTGTGAGTTGTGGGTGTTCCAGAGTGTTGTGAGTTGTGGGTATTCCAGAGTGTTGTGAGTTGTGGGTATTCCAGAGTGCTGTATTTGCTATCCTGAAAGATGGTAACTCCAGGTGATAGTAACTGCAGCTCTGCTCCTAGGAAACTCTCAACCTGTTCTAGTTGTTGAACTTTTACTGAAATACTTGACGATATACTCACTGACACTACTGAAGTCTGCCAGCTCAGACTGACACTACTGAAGTCTTCCAGCTCAGACTGACACTACTGAAGTCTGCCAGCTCAGACTGACACTACTGAAGTCTGCCAGCTCAGACTGACACAACTGAAGTCTTCCAGCTCAGACTGACACTACTGAAGTCTGCCAGCTCAGACTGACACTACTGAAGTCTGCCAGCTCAGACTGACACTACTGAAGTCTGCCAGCTCAGACTGACACTACTGAAGTCTGCCAGCTCAGACTGACACTACTGAAGTCTGCCAGCTCAGTCTGACACTACTGAAGTCTGCCAGCTCAGACTGACACTACTGAAGTCTGCCAGCTCAGACTGACAC